ATATGCAGTTAGTAAGTGGATTATAAAAATCCATATAGTTCCTGAAGAATAGAAATCGCAACATATGGAAATTAAATCTCATACTAAATATTAAGAAGTCTGAGGTAGAATATATTCCTGAATGAATATTGAAGTCTCAAGAAGAGCATATCCTAGAAGGAAAAGAGTCATTGAACGACTTTGTAGTGAATAACATGATTTCATTATGTATATCACATAATAATCTCTCATGTAGTAGAGAATATATATCTCATTGAAGTGAATTGTTATTCACAGAAAATGAGAACATCCTTGAAGAAGTTAATCCATGAAGGATTTATCAGTCGATTTTTAAATAAACACCATTAATCCCAAAGTGAATATAGACCCGAGAAAAAGAAAATGAGAAACACTAGACACCATGAAGATGTCATACAAACACTTAGAAAGTGTATATTTTATAAAGCTAGCAACGAAGTGTTGATATCCTCAAAATACCATAGATGGTACAAGAATAATGGTGACTTTAGTAATTGAATTATCTTCTAAATGCCAAATGCAAGACTGGATTTATTATTTAGTGGTACAATCAAAGTCTTGAACATTTGTAGAACATATAATTTGAAAATCCACTAAGAAAGAATTATAAGTACTCAAACTTTAGTATAAGTTTAATACACTGTCTAGAAGATATAAAATATTATAAATTATTTAACCTCATAATTCTCCGAAAGGATTTATTATTCAAAGAATAAATTTTATTTATTTTGCACAACTAATAAGTAGTCATTTATGCATGAAGCATATTATTCTTGTTTACTCTATTATAGTTCATAGAAGAATTATGAGCCAACTTTTTAAAAGATATAGTCTTGTGGTACTGCATATCATTAATTAAGCACACATTTGTGAGAAGTATGATTTGAATAATGAAGTTCAAAGTATGGCTTTACGAGGGGAGCATATATGATTGAATCTATCTTAAAGGTAAACCACTAAAATTACAAATACCAAGAAAATCATATTTGCTAAAACGTTAAAGTTTATGTATTTATCATGAAAATAAATATCTATTCGAATAATAGAGTATCTTGAAAAATACATGACCAAGAAGGTTAAATATTGTACTCTTTTTTTCCTATATGTGAGTTTTTACTTGAAGGTTTCTTACATAATGTTTTTAATGAGACAACATGTGCAACAATTAACGAATGTGATGTACTCTTTTTTTCAAGAATTGTTTTTCCATTAGGTTTTTGAATGGAGTTTTTAACGAGGCATGTGCATATCGTGGTAATCGCCTAAGGAAAGTGTTGTAAAACATACGAACTCTATCCTAGAAGGAAATGAGAAGGAAGAATCCTAATCTTACTCCGTTTGTATGTGGACTCTTAACAAACTTTTAGGCCTTGGCAGAACTATATATATGTGGGAGCTATATGTTGTAATCACCAATATTCAGAGGAATAAAAAATAGTCTCCTATCTCTTGTGTCTATGTGTTCTACTTTAATATACTATTTTGATTATGAGAGACGAAGAGGGAAGGTCCTAACCGCAGGCAACATGTTTTATAACACATATATATCCATTAAATTGATATTTCTACTAAAAAATGATGGATTAAACTACTCCCTTAGTTATGAGTGGCTTATGGATTCTCGCCTCAACATTTCAACCATCAAGCAAATCGCTGTCCAACGCAGACACAAGATGCGACTTATGTCTACATACGTAATTAAATCAATTTATCTAAAAAAAGTTAAAACATCTTATATATAATTTGTTTGCACCCGAATTATCAACTGGTTCGCATTAGCTGCTTCAGACGATCCATCGAAGATGATAAATTATTAAACCACTAATTACACGGACGATTCCAGCATCCAGGAGTCACCTATGTATTTGCTTTATTCTCCTTTGTTCACTCCTTAACGTACACCAGCTTCGTAGAAACCACACATGCATTCCATCTAGACGGACAAACAGAAAAATAATTATGTATAGATGAAACCACACCAGCTTCAGAAAGTTCATATAGGAAACTACTAGAGAGGGAGATAATTAAAATGAAGTTGCTACTTATTTTATTAACTTGCTAAAACTATTTGTTTAACAAGTAAATTATACGAAGTTTCTGGAAAGACTCTAATTTTATCGAACACATTCACACTTCAGGAAACAATAAACCCCATATTCATCAAATCAACTACAAACTGATGGGCATCGTGTGTTGTTTCAGCCAACAATACGTGCTAAACGCCACAAAACATGAAAACGTTTTCATCTTGTTCATAACCTTGGCACTCCAAATATTATCCCAATATATATCAAACGAATCTGCCACTTCTTCCGAATTTGATGAGTTTGCACATTACGATTAAGTTTTGAGACTTGCTGACGTCTGGTCGGCTAGCATTTGGCGCCAACCAACAATATCGTGCTTCAGAGCCACAAAGGCCCGTTGCACGACCACCACCCCTGACCCTGTCTTTTATTTGACTTGTTCGGCTTGTTTTTTCCACCGCGGCGTGATGCGGTGACCCACGGTCTCTCTACAACAATTCAGCAACAACATGTGCTTCCCCAAGATCTACTTTTAAAACATCTAAATCAAACACTTGCAACATACGAAAAGCCAAAACAACAAAACTTGCTTGCGTTTTCATCTTGTTCCATACAACATGTGCAAATATTATCCCAATATATAAACATGCGAAACACTTGCACTTATTCCGAATTCGATGAGTTTGCACAAAAACACGAAAAAGTTTGAAACCATACATACGCAACATCTAGATAAAATAATTGTAACATATGTGTGAAACATATGCAACATCTAGATAAACACATTTGCAGCATATGTTTGAAAACAAATGAAACATTTGGCATAGGCGCTTGCAACATACGCATGTACAAACACATGCATGTTTTGGACCAACCACTAGTGAATTTGTTCTCACTGCTCCGATTCCGGATGGTGATGCAAAGAGACACATGCATAATGGTTCGGCAATCGAGGCCCCAGCCCGGTCCACCGATCTTGTATTCCTTGCACCGAGGTGCTCGTAGATGCGGCTAAAGGAGAGAGGGAGCTGGTCCTGTGTCTCGGCGAGGGTGACCTGGGCCGCTTGAGACGTTGCTCTCGCGGGGATATGTGTGTATGTGTGTGTGTTACAAGGTTTTTTCCCCCCCCCTAAGATCTACTTTTTATACATGAAGGGAATCAAACACTTGCAACATACGTCGTGCCAATAGGGGTGGCACGTCCGAACCTGGATGAAACACTTAAAAAATGGTCGTCGTGGTCCACTTGGATGCGGGCGGCGTAGCCCCATAGCAACATCGTGCAACACCTCGGATCTACTTTTGAAACATGCAGTGCAACGAGGACTTGCAATATATAAAAGAAGACGCGTGATGAAACAACTTGCAAAAAACATCTGCAAAAACACTTGGGTGACCATAGCAAAACACATCGTGAACAACATCCACGATAAATCCCGTAATTGCAACATATGTGAAACATAATCCCAACATCTAGATAAACACATTTTAATGAGACATGACGATTGTCGGGAGGGTCGGTGTTTGAAAACAAATGAAACATTTGGCACAAGTGCTTACAACTAGCTTTATTTGATGTTTGCAAACCATTACAACAAAAACCATTACAACAAATTCAACATCCCGATCTACTTTTGCAATATACGTATGAAACACTTGTAACGTACATCTAAAACATCTGAAACATTTGAAATGTACGCTTGCAACATGCGCTTTCAGCGTGACATCTTTTGCTATTTGAGAGAAATGGAGGTTCATCGGTGTGTGAAGTTCATCGGTCGAGAGCTCGCCGCTAGCGCGGAGCGACCGGCCAAGGGTGCGCGATAGCTATCGAGCGCAGCAGCCGGAGCGAAGCTGCTGTTTCTTCGAGCCCGTGATGGAGCTTTGCATTGTCGGCGGACCGGCCAAGGGACACCGCACCCTTGGAGCGGACTAGGCAGGGTGCAGCTGCGGACTGCCCAAGCGGCGCGATGGGGCGGCAACAGGAGCGGAGCTGCCCTCCGTTTCTTCGAGCCCGACGATGGAGCTTTGCATCGTCGGCGGACCGGCCAGGGGACATTGCAGTCTTGGCGCGGACCGGGCAGGGGGCAGCTACGGACAGGCCAGTTGAGCATGATGGGGCGGTGGCTGGCCACGGGGCACCATGGATTACGGACTCTGGGGGCCCTGGCGAGGCCGGCGGCCAGCAGAGGAACCCCACGGTTGCGGCATTGCGGAGCGCGGTCACGGTGCAGCACAATTTTGCGATGCTGCGGTGGAGAGCCTTCTGGAGAATGGAGAAGGAGGATAAGGTTTGAGGCGAGTGGAGAAGGGGATACACCGGTTGGGCTGATGGCGCGGCCTGTGAACGCAACGTCCGGACGATCGGACATCTGATCGGAGCATTACCGTTAAGTTTTGAGTCAATCAGCCTGTTCGCTGGTTGGTTTCTGGGCTGATAAGCCCGGCTCATGCTGGTTTGTTGTGAGAGAAAAATATTGTTGGCTGACTGATAAACCCTGGCTGAAAACAACAAGCGAACGGGCTGAATGTATCAAACTCCAGGCTTTGATGAACTTTTCATCTCCGTCCAATGGATTTTTATCATGCATTGGCCGTTCTGTAATTTTTTGCAACTAAGATGCCGATCTTTGAAGAAACATTGAAGTTGGCGAGGTTGATGCAATGATGCTGCGAGGCCTTAATCTAACCTGACGGACCCTCAGTGAAGTGAAATTTTATGACGTACTTGCTTTCACTTTCATTTGCCTAAGTGCATATTGTGTTTCGCGTTAATCGGAATTCATAGTCAACCAACATGACAAATGTCAAAAGATAGATTGGTATAAGCTAGCTACAATTCTTGAACATTATTAGGAGTATTGCGTATTGACATTCTACTAGCAGTACTTCATATGCTAGCCCGCGAAATAAATCGTGTTCAAAGAACAAAAAAAATAAAGGAAAGAAAACCAACTACAGTATAGTATATCTGATCGGGTCCTGCCTACTCTCCACATTCACGAATTCCGATGGATGGATGGATTCAACTGCCGGGCGTGGGAGCCAGGAGCCTGGGACTGGGACTGGGACTGGGACTGGTGGCACATGCGCAGGGGCACGGCAGTAACAGCACCGGGGTTCCTCTTGCTTTTTGACGACGAGTAGGTGCAGGAGGCTACCGTCGCACACGTCCGCGCCGAAGAGGTGGAACCGGCGCTGCACGAAGGCCCAGATCTCGACGTTGTCCCTCTCCTTGAACCCGCACTGCCGGATGAAGTGGAGGTACCCTTCCCCCTTGACGATCGTGCCGAGGCTGCTCTCCCACCGCGACATCTGCACCTCCTTGGCGCCGGCGTCGAGGCCCACCAGCTTCACGCGCAGCCCACCGTGCACCTTCCCCTTCTTCTTGGGTTTCTTCATCTTCTTCCCCTCAGCGGCGCCATTCTGCTGCGGCTCTGACGGTCCAGGCTGCTGCTGCTGCTGCTCCTGCTCCTGCCTCTGCCTCGGCCGCTTCTTCCTCGGCACCGGGGATGGGTCCTCGAGGAGGTTGGCGGCGTCGAGCTCCTGGGGGCTCAGGATCGGGCGAAGGCGGCGGTCCACACCTTCGCGCGGGATGCGGAACCGGTTCTGGTGCGCGTCCAGGTCGGTGCTCGTCACGCACTTGTCGCCGATGAAGTGCACGGGCAGGTCGGCGCGGAGCCCCAGCGCCACGAGGAAATGCCTGCGCAGGCACGGCGGCTCTTCTCTGCCAGCACCCGCAGCGGGCGGCGGCGGCCGTAGCTGCAGGGGCGGGGCGCTACTGATGGGTGCGACGTCAAGGACGGTCATCCCCGCGTACGGAACCATCGCACCTGACGCCGCCGCCGACGATGACGATGACGATGACGACTTGGCGGCGGCGGCCTCGTCCGGCCGCGCCCGCTTGTTGGCGCGCTGCTGGGACTGGCACGCGGCGACGGCGGCAGGGTCGTAGAGGACCATCTCGAGAGGGCGCTTGGAGTCGGCGAAACACATCTTCCGGTGCTTTTTTTCGCGGCGGAACGGAACCGAATGTGGAATGTGGAGAATTGGAGATACGGCGTCGCTGCACCGCCGCCGCGATATATACTGGCCATCCTCACGGACACGGATCGGAGGCGGAGTCCGACTCGGCATGGGAGTTACGGCGCCGGCCGGTTCGAAACCGATCTCCGTCCGGGACTGTGTATATTATACTACTGGCCATACTCAGCATACCCTGTGGCCCCCCTATTGTCACCGATGCATGAGCCTGCGTCCACGCACTCGATTCCAGCGTGGGAGTCCACCGACGCCTGCGCCTGCATCCGTGCATTCGATCCCACCACTGTCCTATTCGTTTAACTCCCCAGGGCGGAAAGTATTGTTTACGATTTATCGTGAGAGAAAAATACTATTTATTGATAAAAATAATATGACTTATAAGTCAAGTGAACAGCCTCTAACCCTAGGTCCCACGCGTCATGTCTCTTCAGTGTTGGAGACCGCATCCCCCCTTTAAATCGTTCGGGCCCACACGCCACCCACCTTGTCCCTACGTTGGGTTCCGTAAAAATAGCAGCCACTTGGCCCACAACAGACCTATGCATATCGTTGATAGTAGTTACAGATTACATCTTATTATTAGACAATATTTACTATTCCAGTTTGGGTGTAATTTTTATATTCAACTGGTGTAAAAACTGCTAATTCGTAATTGATAATGGTTAGAATTACTCGAACAGTTATCTGTTTTTTTTAGTTTTTTGAATTTTTGTATGTTTATTTGGTTTCCTTTGAAATCTTCCAATTTAGCATCCATAGAAATAATTTGCCTAATTTTTTGTTTTGTTTGTTTATTATATTTTGTATTATTTTGAAAAGTTTTATTTGGTTCTTTTGATCTTGATCTAGTGATCATGACAATCGAGTGTTGTTGGGACCAGAAACACTGGGGGTTTTTTTCCAATCGAGTGTTTTTTTGAGCAACCAACACTCAGGTGTTGGATGCCCCTAAAACACTTAGGTGTTGAGTAGACAGACCTCTTTTTATTCTCCACAACTAAAAATTATTGTGTGATAGTTTAAAAAAAATATCGAGTGATATCGTCTACCCGGTGGTCTTCGATTCACCCCGCCTATAGTTCCTCCTGATAGCATAAGGTTGCCTGCTTTGACTTCTCGTATGTGGCCCTGTCCGCCTTAGCTTATTTGGGCGTCTTCTTCAGCGCGCACGAGCCAGGCGCCCTGAGGAGGCTTCGATGTCCTCCGGCTTGGACCCGTACCCGCTCGTGAGCAGTTTCAGGAAGCGACCTTTGTGGGTGGCGATGAAGGCAAACCTGGTAGTGAGGTGGCCACTGATGGCTCCAAAAACCCAACTGCCAGTCGAGCCCGCGGCAAGCGCGCCGAACAACATGGTGAGGTGGTTGCCCATGGTAGGTGGTAGCGTAGCACAAGAGGACGGTGGGGAGTGGGGAGGTTTAGGGGTGAGGGGATAGCTTGTCATGGTCCCATAGACAAGGAATGGTTTAACCTGAGTATATTTTAGACTGAGTTTATGCAACATACTATGAATTATAATCCAAGCTATCACGTCTGTTATCCAGGAAAATGCTTCGTATGTGCTTTGTGATGTGTTAATGCTTGCTTCATGGCATGTGAACAATTTGTTTTTTGCACTCTACGTAATATTTTTATTGGCCCTTATGAATCTTGTCACAATGTACCTATGGTCCTCAGTCCACTTGAGAACAAGCATAGCTTCACACCTACACTTAGGCCTTGTTTGGAACTTTGGATGTAGTCGGATTCATATCAATCCACATGTATTGGAGTGAATTGGAGTAGAACTTGAACTAAATTACACCCTAATCCACCTCGACACATGTGGATTGAGATGAATCCAATGACATCAAACAAGGTCTTAGTGATTCTTTTCTCATACCTCTTCTGCTTGCTACTGGATTGATTTTTCTCTTACCACGAAACCTTCTTTTGCACAAAAGAAGCGCTTGCACAAGACCGCACCATCAACATCTTCGTGCTGCCCAACACAGACTAAAAAAACACATGATGAGCATAGCATTTATAGAACTCCTTCACTTACTCAACATCTACAAAAGTCGACATCGTCCCAATGTTCGGTTTCAAGGTGTCATCACAAACACAATTTGGAGTATAAGATGGACCCCGCAAAATACACGATAGATGTAAAATAACACATCTATTATGAAAAGGTATCTAATAAGTAATAGTTGTATGATACCTACACATAACGGGATGCTAATGGACTTTTGTGGTGTGGTGCATTCATGAGCTAGAATAATGGCGCAACTGACTCCACATCAGAGTGTACATCATTAAAATCCAATCGACTAACCATGCTAACTTCACCCTCAAAGATCATAGTAGCTACAAGACGACAAAATCAAAGGGGGGAAATTACAAAATAAATAAAGTGGACACAAAAGAAACAAATGGTTGATTATGCTGACAGAACTAAGAATATTGCATTGTGGTAACTCTTTTTGCTGAAATAAAAGTAACAGATAACTCAAAAGTCGTAAACCAATCCAATCAAGGAATATATATATCATGCATGCCAAATTGTGGTAAAAAATTGGTGCCACAAATAGAGGACATCAACTTAAATGGACATAAAAAGATTCTATTGTCTAGACAACAGCTAACCCCATTTATTTTCTATAAGCTACAATATATGGGCCCCTAAATGATCTCAAATAAAAAGTCCATTTATTACAAAGTTTTAGATATCGTTGAGCTCTACAATTTTGATATAAATTTTGTCTTTCATCCTGTCGGGGTTATGATACCCCAGGTATCTCAAGGCACCGATAAGTCAGCCGCTCGGGCGGCCTACGATACCAAAAGCTAAATTTAAGCCCAAAAGACCGAGGCCCAGCTAAGCTAAGCGGACCGAGCCAATCATTGAGGCCGGGGTTGGTCATGACCCCTCCATTCTGCCTTAGCCGCGCGCTATGCAGCGGCTCACAACCTCTCGTCATCCCGACCCCCGGGAGGAACGGGGAGAGATCAAGTCCCACCGAACACACCTGCTCTGACAGAAGTAGGCACGCCGCATTGACCCCTCAAGGACCGAGGGGACAGCGGTCACCTCGGTCCGGTCAGACGCCACCCCTACGCCACGCAACAGAGACAAGACAACACCGCCAAGTGGTGACGGTAGGTACAGAGGGCCATCGTCCAAACATGACTCGACAAGATGTGTGTACGATCCCACCCACTACGGAATGGGATCCACGATGATGGCCTTGACTTAGAGGCCATTCAAACCGAACGGGCCACAACCCCAGAGTTTGGGATCGTGGCGACCAATTCCACAAGCAGCAGAACGGCCGGTGACCCAGGGGCGGCTACCTACTCTCGTATGACGCCCCTAGACGATTAGGAGGCGATGACGAAGACCACAACAAGACCACGTCGCATAGGACGGCTGGCGAAACACCGCCGTGCCCACAATGCCGCTATGATAGGCACTGTGGCACCACATCATGCCATGTCGCGACGTGAGCATAAGACCATGACGTGAGCAAAAAATAAACTAATTTTTATTGAACAAAAATGCTATAGAACATATATGTGACGGGTAAATAAAGTTTGAAGTACAAACTTTGTAGATGATAGTGAAATACTTTGTTTAAAAATGATATTACTAGCTAGTATTTCTACTAGCCTAGAAATTGCAAATTGAAATCAAGTTTAGCTCAAAAACTTAGAAAATTTCCAAGTTTGTCAATAGCTAGACATTGCTATGTTTAGCAAATTATTTCGAGAGATTGGGTTAAGGGGTGGTGTAGTGTTATAGCTCGATGTGGTAGTCTCATATGCCATCTTAAGCATGGTGAAGATGGTTTGGCTCTTGAAGCAATCGTTTAGTTGTTTTGGGCGCTTTAAAATTCATGCACAACTCGGTCTCGGGTTGGTTGGCCGAGTGGGCACGGTCAACCACGCTGGGGTGCTCGGCGTCGCCGCATTGGTTGCGCATGTATGCACGCGCTGCCGCGCGCGGCCGACCGTGGCTACCTCTGGCCTGGCTGTGGCCCGTCTACCTCTGGCCCCGCCGCGCAGAGCTGCTGCCGCCCGCTTCGCCCCATGATGAAGTCACTGCCAGCATTATCACCTTGCCATCGCATCCGTGAAGTGCTACCTCACCGCACTGCCGACCCGCCTCGTGCCGCGACACTGCCGCTGCTGTCGCATCATCATCGCGTTCGCGCCTGTCTGCTGTACCCTCTACACCGCTGCCGGCCTAGTTCAAGGCCACCACTACCGCGAGCACGTGGCCGAGCTCACCGTCGCCTTGTCATTTAAGACACTACGGCTCGAAAATGCGCACGCCTGTCTGCTAGTGCCTACGCGTGGGCCTCCATGATCTCACCGACCGCCTCCTGCCAAGGCGAGGATGAGCCGAGCCACTTGCCGCGCCCCATCTCTCTCTTTCTCTCTTTCTCCTCTCGGTCGTCGCCATGAGCTGCGCCATCTAATTTACCCAGCGAACGATCACCTCCAATCAATTCATCGTATCCATGGCTTCACCATCATGTCCTCTCGCTGCTCGACCCTACCCAGCCTTGAACCGTGCATGGTCAAGCTCCAATTTTGGAGTTTCCCCACCGCCGTGCTGATAAGGCCGCGTCCGGCCGTGGATGTGGGCAGCCTCAACCATCCCTCCCGCGCCAATTCACCTGCACAACTAGCTTCACCTTCCCTCCCTCTCCACCTTGCGCGCCTTAGCTGAACCGCTACCACCTCCCCGTTGTCACTAACACGACCGTGCCACCGCGGTGCACCACCGCACGGCTTGGCCGCACGTGACCAGCCCTTCTTCACCATCCTCCACCCCAACCGTCACCTCAGCTAGGTCCACGGTAGTCTACTGATGCTCTCTCGCTAGCCAGTTAGGTTCTTAGGTGCTCTAGATCACCGAGGCAGCTGCGCCGCCGTCATGGATGGTCGCGCATCGCTCAGCTCGCTCCAGCGACGTCCCGCCACCCCTCGCCGCTGCTTAGCGTAGCCGCTCGGGTCAGAGATGGTGATCGACCCATTAGGTGGGCCCACACAGGTCCCAGGTGGTCGGCATAGGCGCTCAGTGTCACCGCTCGCTGCACCGCCGTGCA